AGAGTCCATCAACTGCTAGCAATTCTTGATAATTTAATTCTTTTCAAAGAAGTGTAACAATTTTAAGACATTATATCAATAGCAGATGAAAATTTCCAAATTCTCCATACTTATGAGAAGGCACTGCTATTTGTTTACAGGATTATGTTGAAAACTAATGAAGGGATCAACAAAACATTTAGTAGAGCTGCCTTATTGGTCTAAAGAAGAGGCATTTTAAGTTTGGAGTTCAAAAGTTAAGGCCATGGAAATTAACAATAACTACCAAGTGGTATGGTGTTGTATGCCTTATATCGAGTACCTAGTGTATGGTAGTACCTTCCCTATTTTTGAAATTGGTTCAGTACCAACATTTAGAACTTAAATTTTCAATATGTACCTATATTTTAAAAATATTTTGTTATAATTGTTTATGTCTGTTTATTATTGAAATTTGTCTTTGTTCGAACACTCTTTACATTTGAACATGAAATTTTTCTGAAGACAGATGTTGCATTTGTATGATCTACATTATTCTCAGAAGTTTTAAATCTTATAGTTTTTAGGCTAAATATCCATCTGTTCTTGGTGCAGTGTGATTATCACATTAACCTCCGGCAAATGATATTTCTCGTTTTTGCACGCAAAAACATGATGCCTTATAACTTCTAACTGGTCGCAGTGCCTGTAGGCTTGTTTAGTTAGGTGTCGACAGATTCCAATATTACAACAGACATAGTGGAATCAACGACACCGCAAATAGTCTGCAATGAAAAAACTCACAGGAAACCAAGAGAAATTGAATAATTTTCATAATATATAATTCTGTTAAGAGAGGGTGGAAAGAAGGGTAAAATCAAGCGGTAAAAATTGAAGCGGATAGTGAGATGATAAGGAGTTGATAGTCACTTTATTTATTCACAAAAAAACGATTTTTGTACTTATAATGGTAATTAGCAAACCAAATTTTTATGGATTAGATAACGAATAAATAATTAAATAAATAAAATAAAAATGTTAAAGAATGGTGGTAATGAGTTGACTAACTTTAAATAACAAGTGTCATCACTTTAAAGGCAGAGATAAATAAATAAAATAAATGGCTAAGGACATGATTTACATATGTAAGATAATTTTATTACCCTATTTATTTGAATAAACACCCCACAAACACCCTCTAGAACGCCTTTGTCAAATAAACACACTCCGAGATGTAATAAATTGGAGATAAATAAGATTCAGATATAAACCTGATAATAACGGAAAAACTTGAATCACAAAAAGTTGTGTTTTTCACACGCAGAATACAAATATAACAATGAAAATAAAATACAAAAGTAAAGTAATTCATAACTTAAATAATTTGCTACATCATGAAAAAATATGCAAAAGTTATAATAAAAATAAAAATTAAAGTACACAAAATTACATTATACTAATCAAGAACTAAAAATTGGTTTCATATAGCAAAAATACGAGAAAAAAAAGGGCTGGCAATGACTGATGTGTTTGTATAACAAACAAAAGAAATAATAACAGATAGAAGGTTAGAATTCATGAAAAATTTTGCCTGAAGAAAATCTGATAGTTTATAATTACATTTGATGTATCAGAGATCCTACTCATCAGTTAACCATAAATTACCCAAAATTCTTAAATGATAACCAAGGTTGTGTTTTCCACTAATAACACATTATCGATGTTAAATTACCTTGGTTGTAACTGCCGATATATTTTCAAATCTTGTCAGTGTTTTTTTTAATGTAATTTCTTCATATCAAAGTCGAAAGTGGTAAATATGATGTTGTGTATAGTCTATTGCTTTGTATTCCCTTGGAAAATTTAAAGATTTGTTTCAAATCCTCCTTGTGGCAACTGACCAGATATAAAAAAAAAATGAACAATTATTTGCAAGTAGGACAAATCTATTGAAAGTGTGCTAAATTGTATCACTTCGTAAGAACAATAAATCATACTAAATCCACATCATATATCATTAATACTTGCCTATTTATTCGATTATTTATTCAGGTATAAAATTACTCTACATCACTGCAACAAATTACGGTTTATAAACATTATTAATTGCAAGCAAGGGATTTAAGTATCATCTAATGACAATTACAACAGTTAATATATGTTTTTTTTTGATACTATAAATTTATGATTAAAAGATTCAATTGATTTTACATTTTTAATATATTTTTCACAAACTCTATCATTAAATTTTTTTGTAAATGATAGCTTTACAAAAAGAATAAATTAAATTAAGTTATAAAAAAACCAAAATAAACATCAATGACAATTACAAGGGTTAAATTGGATTTTTTGGGGTTTTTTTTTGTAGTACTATGTTATAAGGTTTAATTTATTTTCCATTTTTTATACTTTACACAAATTCTATAATTCACATTTTTAATGAATGATAGTTTCCAAAAAAAAAAAAAAAGATAAATTAAATGAAATTAGAAAAATTTTTTTTATGAAAATGAAATTATAAAAATAAATATTTATGTCTTACTAAGCAAATATCATAATTATTATATAATAGTGATTATAATTTTCAAAAATATAGGTCTTCTATATATTTGTATAATTTTCTTAAACCATGCTCCATAAAACATTCATAAATTATTTCTATGGCGAGTTTCATTCTAAATTTGATATGGCCATAAAACATTCTGAATAGATTTCCGCTGTTGATGCTGTGTTTTCTCGGTTCTCTTTCACTAAATATAATCTATTTTAAATGTAAGTCTGTCTAAATGCTTGTGTCAACATTTTTATGAGTTTGATAATTTCGCCTGACACGCAGATGTTGATACAGTTTCTGCAGATGACGTAAAAGATGACTTTAAGTGAATAACAACGTGTGTACAATATTATATGTTTTTCAATAATAAACTTATCTTATCTTATCTTATCAATTTTTTGGTGTCAAATATAAATATTACTAATATCTTTCAAATTACTCTAGAAAATAACATATTTTATGGGTATATTTTATGATAAAATTATCTTTTTAAGTGAATAATGTGTGTACAATATTATATGTTTTTCAATGATAAACTTACCTTATCAATTTTTTGATATCAAATATAAATATTACTAATTTTTTTCAAATTACTCTAGAAAATAACAAATTTTATGGGTATATTTTATGATAAAATTATCTTTTTAAGTGAATAACGTGTGTACAATATTATATCTTTTTCAATAATAAACTTATCTTATCTTATCTTATTAATTTTTTGATATCAAATATAAATATTACTAATTTCTTTCAAATTACTCTAGAAAATAACAAATTTTATAGGCATATTTTATGATAAAATTATCTTTTTAAGTGAATAACGTGTGTACAATATATGTTTTTCAATAATAAAGTTATCTTTTCTTATCAATTTTGTATTATCGAATATATATCTTACTAATTTTTTTCAAATTACTGTAGAAAATAACAAATTTTACGGGTATTTTTTATGATAAAGTTTTTCATTCATGCCTTATTTACTTTTTGCTAATTTACAATCTTAATAATACAGAAATACTTAATTGATAAGTAGCTAATTTAAAGTTCTGTAGAAATTTATCTATTTTAAAAGATTATTATACTTATACATCTGCTACTTGCCAGGAAATTTTCAATTTAAAACTAATATTAATAACTGACATAAAAATATAAAGTAAGCTATTCAGATAATTAAATTTTTCAGGTTAAATAACTTGATTTATCTTTGTAATAACCAACCAGAAATGGATCTTTTAAGATAAACAAACCAGACAAGCTGATAGAAATGAACCTAGATATAAAATTAAAACATACATGAATAACAATTAAGAATTAGACATTGCCATTGGTCAGATTTTAATAATCAGCTGAAGACTTGTGTCCGAAAAACAATCTCCATGCCGTTAACCTTTGTGATGCAGCTAGGTTAATGTTAGATGGAGACCCAACCTCCCAGCAGCATCTTCTCCTAGATTGACCATCACATCTCGTTACAACCAATTCTTCCAGCCACAGCTAAATTACCGTTAATAGCTCTTAATAGGCTCTTTGCATTGCAATGCACTGCTATCATCAGAATGGAATAGCCAGCCACTCAAAAACACTTTAAACAAAAGTGTGCGGCAATCACACGCCGCCGAGAATTGATGATAAAACGGTGGAAAATACTGCGATTTCCCTAGATAATTAGAGCCAAGTTTCAGCGAGTCGTAGATAGGATTTTTGTATGGTAGTATCGGCGGTCATTCCACTAGCTACAACGGAATATCCTTAGTTAGCATTAATCCTATAATGCTGTCTGAAAGTTCATGCATGATGTAGTGAATTTAACTTTGATCTCCTCCGAGTGAAGTTGAAATTTGAACATGTCCACCGTCAGCTCAACAACTTACTATAGAGTATTTAAATCTCCTTTAATAGACACGTTAAAATAAGTGTATAGCAGTTCTATTTACAACATCATCACTCTTTTATAAAAAATTTTGTTCAGAAAGAAGATGTGTTACCTACTAATTTTTTATGTTAAGTTTAATTGTTAGATGACTGAAAACATGTTTTTTTTAAAATGGTTATTATTGTATTGATGCAATATTATAAGAATTTTTGGAAAATTTTGATTAAGAAGACTCAATTCAATGCCTATTATTAATTTTAATAAATTTTTATGAAAAATATAATAATATTAGGATTTATTTTGAAGTGACTTATTCATTCTCACCACTATTTTGGAACTCTATTTAAATTTTGAATTATTTTGAAATTTTGGATTTATATATGAAAGAGGGGAGCATGGCACTCCAAAACCAGCTAATTTTCTTATTTACATTCCATGTAACAGTGTCTCCAACAAGTTATCTTTAACAAATGTTAGATGTTTCTGATTATTTAAATGTAGTACGAACAAAGAAGTTCACTGATACCGTTTCCTTACTTTATATAAAGTCGAACATTCAGCATTCCAAGTTTATAATTTATATTTAAAAAAAATAATATTTATATTAATTTTCAGATGGCAATTTGGAAAACAGCATTGGATCAGGTGAGGGAACAGAAGAGGACGATGATGATCGATCGAAAGGAAGGCAGAAGAAACGAGGAATATTCCCAAAATCAGCGACAAACATCATGAGAGCGTGGCTATTCCAGCATCTAACAGTGAGTTCATGTTTTTTATTTTATTTTATTTTATGAAAATGTGGCAAATATTATCTGCAGAGGCCATCGATAGCCACATAGTCATCATGGCTAGTGGCTAATAATTAGCCTCCCCCTTAACTAGAATTTTTTTCTAGAAACATACAGAATAAAAAGGGGAAAAAAATCATGCATACAGGAAAATTTGTTTATTCGACCATTGAAGCGTTAGATCTAGGATATTTAAGAACATTTGGTCTTCGGTCCAGTCCACAATAACAACCAATCGGCTAAACTGGTGGTAGCCACTGTGTGTGCGCTAAACCGTGGAGATCTCTTGAGCCACGGTTCAATTCCCATCGCTGCTCTCCTTGTGTCCAGCTGGAGGGCTGAAATGCAAGTTATGATAGCGCACCCTCTTTTGGATGAGATGTTTAAGCTGTTGGTCCTGTGTGCATTGATGGCCCATGTGCATGTTAAAGAACGCAGTACACTCTTCGGAAAAGAGTAGGGGATTGTCTCCCAGTGTTCTGCCCAATCACCACCAGAAGGACCCACTGGAAATAAGTCTTCTTCAAGCTTCCGTGTGTTATCCTTGGTGTTTATACCGAATACTTCCATTCCATTCCATGTACAGCATGTTTTAAATAATATGGTGCTGTTTCAGCTAAGTTCTTCTTTGTGTAGTTGTCTTGGAAAAGGTCTGAAATAGTGCAGGCTTAAAATAGTGCAGTTCAAATAAAGTTTATTCCATTGTACCAGATTCCCACCAAAAATTTTGGTGGGAAATTCCATATCCATTAAAGACAAATAAAATTAACAATAAATCAGACATTAAAAAATAAAAATTGTGATGGAAAAGACGGTATGGGGAAAAAAGGACAATGAAAACAAGTAAAACTTTAAACACAAGTCAAGGGAGGGGATATTAGGAAAGAAGGACAGGAAATAAGGCCATAATTTTGGATTTTATAAAAATATACTGTAATATGTTAAGCTAAATAATAAAAGAAAAACTTGAAAAATAATTAAAAGTAAAAGTAATTGCTTTTCTTATTCAAATTTAAATTGTCATTTAAAAAAATTATAATTAAAAATGAACTATACTAATAAATGATATGTTTCTATGGCATCACACACCATCATCATCAGGAATTGTTTCTTATGGTCTACCGGTTTATATACTACCAGTCAGAAATATGTTTTCCTTATCAAATAACCATTCATAATATTTTTTCCCCTAGACCATCAAATTATCAGCTGATCTTGAAATCAAGTTACGGATTTTCCTTGTATGCATGCCTGTAACAACAAAAAAAGAATAATTTCATTAATTGTATATCCCATTGTAAGTTTAGATAATTTCATTGATCCTTTTAATGGACCAATTAAATATTTTAATTGAATTAGAGGGAATTTTAAAGATTTTATAGGTTTGTTCAAGGATTTACAAAATAAAAAATAAAAAATAGCAAAACAAGGCAGTGGGATCGCCCCAGGACATACGCCACATACATTCATATCTTAAGTTTGTAAATTTGACATGAAAAACAAATTACATTTTTGTCTATTTCTTCCGTAGTTCTTTGCAGCTTAAGAACGCCATGTCCCAATTGGCTGGTTAATTTTTGATTTAATACAGTACTTAAACACAGACAGACATAGCAAGCCTATTTATTAATGTTGTTAATTTGTCTTCTTGACTTAAATCATTGTCAATTATTTTTTCATGCATCATTTTCATTATAATCCTCGCCTAATTCTGAAATCATTATTCATAAATGAATATGACATTACCGGAGTCCAGAGGGAGAACTTAACAAAATCATCTGATAACTAACTGACAAAGTTGATGTCAGTCTGGCATAGTTCTCTAAATGATGCCTTCTTGTGTGTAAGAAAAGCCTTGTGGACTCTTACATCAAAACCTTACTAATCCAAAATGTGGTTAGTTGGTTATTTCTGAGAAAATATAGTCACATTACGAGGGAGGAATACTAAATTATCACACACAGGCCAAATTACAAGAAAATTATGTTCTCTTCCGGTTGTTTTGAAAGTCAAGAGGATGAGATTAAAGACCCTTTGATTTGAGACGTCAGTATGATGTCATATGGAGTCATCTGCACATACGAACACTTTTAGCTTCAATTCTCGTTTTGAATTCTAGGATGAGTTTGGACTGTTAAGGTTGTGAATCTATGGCACCATTTCGAGTCTGTTTTAAAGTCATTGTAATCGCAGTATGGAGCTTTCGATTTTTGCTCTTCTGCGACCGTCGTGAGTTCCCCGCGTAACATAGATTCTGTCCAAACTGTGTACTGGCATTCAGAACACAGAATTCTATGTGACGTCATTGCGTTCTGTTTCTTAACGTTGTCGCGCCATCAGAATTTCTCAGACATTAAAAGCTCCATACTAGTGGTCGGCAATGGCAGAATTGTGGCGAATTGCAACTTGCAAAATTGTGGATGTTTCTCATTCCCCCTTCCAATATACAGGACTATAAACACCTGGGCAATATATTATATTCCCCATGAAATATCAGTTTGTCCATCCTATGCAGCTACATTAAAAGAAATATTACTCAGGAGTACAAACAATTCTGTACAGTGATTGCTTTCCAGTCCTTTAGAGATTTTTTTTCTTTCTGTAAAATTAGTTTCAACTTTCTTATGAATTAAACCTAAGTGACTATCAGATGCTATAATGAAGAGTATGAGATTTTTAAATCGGTAAAAGAGATCATTTATCAATGACATGATCATTCAAATAATCAACCAAATGGAAGAACAAGTCTGTTCTTAATTGACATTATTTCAAATTCTGAACCAAGAAGTAGGATCGCCGAGCACATTTACATTAAAACAAATTGTCTCCGCTACCCTCATGATCTGAGCATTCCGTTTGTTAGTGTGTTTTACTTTAATTCATTGTCAGTTTTATTATAGTTCGCTTTGAAGATACATTTTCCGAGGCAATTTATGTACATAAATATTTTCAATTACCTGCATTTGAGACTTTAACTACATTGGCCTACTTTTAACTTGAATGTTCTCGTCCAGATATAGATGGAATTTTATGAACTCGCTCAGATTCGTCTCTCGTTCCTAGTCTTAATTTGAAGATAATTCAGTATGTTAGACATCAGTGCATCCTGGTTTGCTCGGCTTAAGGTCATATATGATTTTCATCATTTTAAAGAGAAAAAATCATTCTCTTTCCTATGACCCCTTTCTCCCTGGCTTCACAAGAAAATGTTGTCATTTTGAGATCATCCTTTTTGTCTTTTTCATAAAAAAGCAATCAGTCATCAATCAATCACAATCAACAGAGATTTGACAAAAAAAAACAAAAAGGCCGAATAAAAAACATTCTAGTTTCTCATCTCGTTGCACATTCATTTTCTCTGCCTCACCAAATTTGTTTTTTAATGAAATGTTTGAAGATTTTGCTAAACTCACATCAGTAAAAATTTCTCTCACAATCGTTCGTAGTTGGGGATACATATGGTATGAATTATGTCTAGTGCTTCTTTTATTTGCTTTCAATGTGTCTACTTGGTAAAAGTGAGAAAGTGGAAACTGTTTCCCATCGACCATCTTGGATTTGCCATCTCGGAGTTTTTAAAAAAAAGGTGCTCTCATTCTCCTTTTTTTTTCAAAATGTCAGGACAAGAAACTAATTTTTTTTTTCTACTTGGCCTAATATTCTGTTGTCCTCCAAGTATTTAGTCTACACATGATGCAGTATGAACAAGCTATGAAATGTAATTATTTATATCTTATCAATTATGTATTTATGTTTTATTATGTTAATAATTTATTTGGCTTTAATAAATGTATTATTATAAAAAAAATTAACCTAATTGATTAAAGAAACTTAATAGTATAACTAAATAACTAAATGTGATTATTATATTATATATTCTAATATAATTTTTTTGTTAAATTTTTTACCCACACCTCATTTTGACTGTAGCCTTGTATTGAGTGATAGCCAATAAGAAATTTAGAAGTATCCTTAACTGATATTATTATTAATAATAATGTGATTAAAATAGCCATTGAAATGCCAATGGGTTGTCAACCATACTGATGTCTTACCCCCGGCCTCTGATATAATGTTTCGCTTGCTTCCAGCGTACTTCCATTACCTTTGTCGTGTATCAAATTCTGAATGTTTCGTTATAATACCTGACAACTCTGTTCATACACATTTGTCAAGCTAAGCCCCTACACATTATGATCAATTCCTTCCAATGTCACCCTCACCCTTTGTTAACCTTTGCATTGCTTAGGTTACATATTCCATTCAGTGTCTCTAATGGATGCTCCACTGATACTGTCAAGATTTGTTAGTTTTACTTCTCATCATAACCATCCTTTATGATATCCATGGCCTTTTCTGTTTTCTAAACACACAAGACAAAAGTTCAAGGGTAATCTTTCTCCCTTAGATTTATCCATTTAAAAACATCGAAGTCTTTTAATTACATGATATAATTTGCTACAATTTAGCTATTGGATGATAGAGTGAGCCTACAGTGTATACATTTAAAACATACAGTATATAGTTTTTATGATCGCCTTACAATAGAGCAGAAAACATATTTATTATTCTTTAATATTATAAGAACACGATTGAAATACCGGTTGGTAAAATAAATTATTTTACTCAGAAACACACACATCCATGTGTAATACAGCCTATAATTCAAAGTCAAAAATTTTGCCCAAAGAAAGGGTGGTACGTATAATTGCTTATGCATGAGAAACTACAGAAGCAATAGTATAAAGTAATGTTTTCAATAAAAATTTTCAATAAAAAGTTGTGCTGGGCCTGTTATAATACATATTTCTCACTAAATAGAATAAGATGATAATCCAATAGACTGATTTGGTGATGTTTGTTTACAGCCGGTCATGTGACATAAATTGTGGATACCATGGAAAACATTACAACGCGATCAGTGTGAAAGTAAGACAAGGCAAAATTCTCAAGTTCAATTTCCAATCAAT